CTATGTTGTGTATAATTATTAACTAATTAAATATAATTAAAAAACTTACTCTAAAGATCCGAAAATAAATTGTAACTCTGGTACAAAGTAGGATTGTTTTGCTTGTTTGGCAGATGTTGGTTGACTCGATATTGTTGAATTATTTCCAACAACAGTATTATTTGATTTATCGCCCAATGAACTAGAAGAAAGCTCTGCAACTGTGACCAGCACTCTAGAATTCACTGATTGATTAGATCCACTCGATATAGGTGTATATTTAGCACATGTAAATGGTGTAATTTTAAATGTTAAAGTATGTTCCGATTGTTTTTTAATCAACAAACTCTTTCCTTCCTTCAACCGTAAACTACACTTTACCATATGCATTCCTTCGTTAGTATTTACAGATTTCTTCTCCACTAAAATGTAGGCCTTCCCACTATATCCAAGATAGCCATGATCAGCAGCAACAGAATTCGATGGAGAGGACAATGGAGAAACCTGCAGGTTTGGTGAGGGGCTACTTTGAGGCATTTTTAATGGTTGATTATTAATACAAGTTGATGTCGTCGCACTGCTGACGGTTGTGGAAGTGGTGTCGCTTAGTGATGAAGAGTTGTCGTTAGCTGATATCGATTGGTTAGTATTGTTGGTGGTGACTGTTATAGTTGGTGATCGAGAGGTATTGTTGGAGAGTTGGAGATGAGGTGGGAGTTGAGGCAATTTTTGATTCTTGTATTGTTGTGGGTCGTGACTTGTTTGGTTTGTGCTTTCTGGAACACTACTACAGGAACTAATTTGATCGTAACTTGAGGATTCATCCAAGTGGAGAGGAATGGTAAGCATTGGTGGATAGAGATGAATGTCATTACAACCAGGGTTCTGCACAAAACCTCACATTGTGAGGTTACGATGAAATAAGAAAAAGACACTTGATGAGCCATGAATCACACAAAACTACCGTTACTAATAAAATTTAAAAAATTTGATGAAAAAAAAACATCCTGATGATGTTTTGTGAATGAATCGTGCCGGGATGTTTAATTGCAAGTTATGATGTGAATCAAAAACATACCGTTCTACAAACAAGAGTAATAGCAATAATATTGATTATTGAATATTAATTAAACAAAAAGAACACTGACCACTGGTTGAATAGAATGCCTCAGGTTCTAGCTTGGTTCTAATCACCTTAGCACAATGTGCTGAGGCGTGCAAAGTAAAACTTTTCAAAAATAAAAGTATGGGTTCTATATTAATAGTTGAAAATTGATATGTATATGACTGAAAACAAAAACAAATAATATATTGGTTTATTTCCAAATTCAATATTCATGTGCAGAACCCTGATTCTAATCAATTATTCTTTCCAGTTCGTTATCATTTTCATTTGAAAATATCGAACATTGTACTGAATTGTCGAGTCAACCAAGTCAAGAAGAAATGCTCTTTCGTTTGCTACCAATTTCATCTTCGGTGCTTTGATAAGGAAGGAGAAGAGTTTTGCGTAGAGGATTTTTAATTGTAGCGTGTCAGATAGACTGAGCAAATGATTCCTATTTTCAAATTTCACTGTCAGGTGTCAATCGAGTATGTAGTTGCATCACAGAAGAAGAATTAAAAAAAAATCGAGGTTTTTGTGTTTTGTGTGTAACTCA